TAATTTTGTACTTTTTATAAATATTATGACTACGAAAAAGTGTTTTGTTCCAGAATGTGATAATGATTCACATTCATCTTCAAAAATATTTATTAGTGTTCCTAGAAATTTGGAAAGAAGAAAATCAACCTTCTACTAGCGATGTTTCTCGTGAACTTTTTAATAAAAATACACCGGATTATCAAGATGTAGCAGCAATTTCTGCTAATTGTCCCCTTCAGGAAATTGAAAATAAGGATACTATAAATTCTTAGGTGTATAACCTAAAAACCCTTCTGGAAGAAAATGCAGAATCTCCTGAAAGTTTTGAAGATACCGAATTTATTCATCATTTTGTGGAAGAACTAGTGATAAAGAAATAATGGAAAAATGTGGGAATTTAAACAAACTGGTTCCTGGATCCCATATAATGGCAGATAGGGGTTTCAGAATAATCAGCTACTTGAAAACATGGGATACACTTTAGTAAAGCCACACCTAGTGTACCACAGAATGAAAAAACTTCTCAAGAAGATGTACAATTAAGTAAAAGAATAGCATCTCTAAGAATACATGTGGAAAGAGTTATAAGAAGGGTTAGTTAATTTAACATGTTAAAACCACATTCGTGTGTGAATTTTAAGCAAGTACATTTACTTAGTAATATCTGCATAATTGCTTGTTAACTTACAAGAACCTATTTTGTAAGAGTAAATATTAATTTAATAAACTTTTTTGTTTTTTAATTTAATTTACCTAATTATCACATTTCAGGGATTATAATGAGTTTTTAAACAGCCAATGTAATTTTTGATAAAAATTTAACTTTTCGAGCAAATTGAAGAGGAATGAGTACCTGTATATGCATAGATTTGTTTGGGACTGAAACTACCAAAACAAAGGCACCTATTTACAGCAGTTTAAAATGAAACATTTTAACAAAAATGCCTATGTCACAGTGATAAATATTAAAAACCAAGTTCAGTTGAATGTGGTAGCAAAGTCTATATATTCCAATAAATCGGGTAACTACATGTGGTATCACTGGTGATAAATTTAAAAATATCACAGTTCTTGCCACCTTTTTCAAAAAACCAGAAAGTGTGCCTTCTTATGAAAATGACAACAGTGATAAATGTGAAAAAAAAATTTCATGTTGCTATTCGTTATTACGATAGTAAAACATGTTTGCAGTTCCGTTTATTTTTTATGAAAATCTAAGTAAAAACAACCAATGTCAAAGGGTTTTAATTTTTTTTCTGTCAAACCAAATATATCACAAAATTAAAAATTGATCATAGGTCAAGCTAAAGTAATACCTTTATTAATAGTAGCTTTAAAAAAGGAGAAAGAATAATATTGACTTAAGTTATTATTATTAACATTGGTGATTTTTAATAAAAACTTCAATTATTGTTTACAAACAAAAATATAAAAATCTGTGAAAATTTTATTTATTAACCTTTTAATAAAAAATGAGAAAAATGAAGTAAAAAAACAATTTATTTACAAATAAAAAATATATACAAATCCTAAGAATATAAAAGTACTGATTTATTTTCCTGTAGTGGATGAAGAGGTTTCTTTAACAATCTAGCCAAGTGTACATCATTATCAATAACACTGAGTAGATGTTACAGATGGTTCCTCACTTCTTCTATGAAGCCACATGTTTACAACCTCCTGAAAAAAATAAAAGGGTTAGATATGCAGTTACAAAATAACTATATAACCAGCTACAAAATGCCTTATTTTATGTAACAAGACGAGCACTTTACTAGCTCTGAACGAATCCAGTAAAGAACCTCTGATTTTCAAAACTTAAAAAAAAACAAGCTCACCACATTTTCACATTTTTGAAATATTATAGAGCTTTTCGAAAAAACTGCTATTTTTAAAAGTACCATTTTTGTTTAAACAGCTATGTCTCATTTTAGGCTATTGAGTATTATAAAATAAAAAATTACGGGATGCTTTGTTAGCTTCAAACGAATCCAGCAGAGCACCCCAGTTTTTTTTTAAACCACACCACATTTTTTGGCTCCTACAATATTATAAAATATTCGAAATTTGACATTTTTAAAAAAAATTCGCAATTCCCTGACTTCAAATTTTTTATTTCTGAAAACAAATATACTTACCACATTTTTAGGATTTTAAAACAGCCTAAACATGTGTCATAAGTAGTTGTTTTTATATATTAAAAAACTGAAGTGTCCTGCTGACTTTGTTCCAACAAAGCACCCTGTATTATTTAAAAATAGCAATTTTTTTAGTAAAGTTTTACAATATTTCAAGAGTCTAAAAATGGGGTGTGGTTTTTAGAAAAAAGCTTTAAAAAACCGAATTGCTCTGCTGGCTTCTTTCGAAGGTTAGCAAGCACCATGTATTTTTTAAAAATATAATATTTCAAGTGCATAAATATATGGTGTTTTTACAGAAAAAACTTTATAAAACAGAGGTGCTTTGCTGACTTCGTTCGAAGCTATCAGAGCATTTTAAGTTTTGCATAAAACGAGGAGCATAAAATTTTTGAAAAGGGTATAAAAATAGCCTAAAAATATGGCATGTTTTAACTCAAAATTTCATAGGTGCTCTGCAGCATTCTTTGGTATCATAATTATTACTAGGTTCACTAACAAAATCTATTTCTAGATTATTTTAACACTTGCTGCGATTACAAAAAATGTCTCTTTATGTCAAAATTAGAAAAAAAATATTTATAAGAATAAAGGGCCTTATACACTGTTTATTATATGTGATATAAAAACAAAAAAGCATAATAAATATTACAAACCTTCAGATTCAACATATCCTAAGCATTGTGCACTAAAAAACAGCCACATCATAAGGTTTTTGCTGTACTTTATGTTTAGGTGTAATTTGTCTCCTTCTCTCTTATGGAAAAAGTAAATATCTCCATATTCTTGCTTGGCAGATCTAAAAATAAAACCTGAGATAAATATGTTTTACTATAAAGTGTACTGCTTCATATAAACTGTAACTACCTACCATTAAAACAATTTATAAATAAAGTTTTACCTTTCTATCTTTTGGAAACTGAATATTGTTAAAAAATGCAGTAATCATCTCGGTAATCATATTTTCGTTTACAATGGGAAAAATACTTGATTCAACTTTTATAAATACAGCTGATAAATTCATATTCTTCTTCCTTTATATATCCTATATCCCACAGGATAATTTACCCAGATAAATGCAGATTAATAATAAAATTAAACCAAAACAAAAAACTAAGGTTAGTTGTTAGGTGCTGTCAATTTTTAAATGTCACTTAGATGTGCGTTCACTTCGACATTCTGTATGTAGGTTTGTTCGTTGGCTTGGTTTTGTAAAACAAAAAAAACTTCGACACAAGCTGATTGGTCTATTCCCGATGACGTATAATTTCAAATTTTAAATTTCAATTGGGCTTAATTTAAAAACTTTTAGCTTTTTTAACGAACTGATTATTTAGAATAACTTGTATAGCGACTAACTATTACAATATAGTTTATAAAACAGCATATCTCACATGTGAACATGGCCCATTATTATTAAACAAAATTAAGTTAAAATATTTACCCATAATTCACATCGTACACAAAAAAACTTTACACATTACCTTACAATACAAAACAAGAACTTTCGCCCAAGGGGCGCCCAAGGGGCGAAAGTTCTGGACCTTAGTCCGAACCCGACTGAGCGTTTTCCCCTAAGTGATCCTTTCTATATAAACCAAAATTTATGTGACTGTTGATTGTATTTAACAATGTCACGTTCAATGTAAATTAATAAATTGAAGGTTTGTTTCATTGTGTCTTTTTAATTATTTAATTTAAACATTAAATACTTGTTTAGAATTTTTGGTAAATTCTTTAGATTTTTTCAATTAATAATAATGCCAATTATTACAATAGTTATTTTTGAAATTAAGGAGGTCCTTTCGCCACACCTCTCGCCTCAAATGTTAAAAAAAAAGTTATTAGATTATGACTAAAATTAATTTTTTTGAAGTCCTTATTTATCTAATACTGAACTTTTAACTATACCTTATCTTGCAAATTTTTGAGAATTTTTTTTTTAAATGTGAGTATTTGTACAGTGCCTCACGAGAAAGTAAGTCCTCAACAACAATTCTCGAATTATACTATTATTTATTGATTAGATGGAGTAGAAAAAAACTAAAAATAAGGTTTTTGAAATATTTAGATTTTGTTTTATACAATAAAATATATATAGTAAACCGTGGAACTTATTGAGAAATTAATATTAAAAAATCACAAAAAATTTTCAACCAGGTTACTTGAAAATTTTTTGTGATTTTTTAATAATAATTTCTCAATAAATTCCACGGTAACCTATATATTTTATTGTAAATACCAAAACCTAAATATTTCAAAAACCTTATTTTTAGTTTTTGTCTACTCCATCTAATCAATAAATAATAGTAAAATTAATTATAATTCGAAAATTGTTGTTGAAGTCTTACTTTCTCATAAGACACTGTACAAACACACACATTTTTAAAAAAAAATTTTCTCAAAAATTTGCACGGTAAGGTATAGTTAAAAGTTCACTATTAGATAAATAAGGACATCTACTATTAGAAAAAAATTAATTTTAGTCATAATCTAATATTTTTTATTTAACATTGATGGCGAAAGGACCTCCTTAAGTGTACGTTTTCTGTTTTGTTCAAAATCGTTTTAATATTGATTGCTAATACGGGTTACTGGAAAGTAAAAGGACTTTAATTTATAGAAAGATCACGTGTTTGAAAATGTACAAATATTAATATAAAATAAAAAATTGCGATTTAAAAATTTAAAAAAATAATAACTCAACCCAAAACAATGCATTTATGAAAGCACCTTTATGACTTAAAGTGTTAAAAAGAGGAGTTTAAAACATTTTTTCATCAACATGAAATCAATAATGAGTACCCATAGGTAGGGGACGTAAGGGACCTCAGAAATTTTAATATTTCTTCCGTTATTTTATTATGTTTTTATGTTTAGCCGGCCACAGTTCTGAAAGCAAGAACGTCTGCATTTGGGACTCCATCCTACCACACGGAAAAGCTTTGGTAACAGCTTTCACCTGCCACGACCAAGGCGCTAGCAGCTTGGTCTTTGCCCCGCAACACCAGGTTCTCATTTCGGCCGGAAAAAAGGGAGACGTTTGTTTAATCGACGTGAGATCCAAAGCGATCAGACACAAATTTACAGCGCACGAAAACGCCGTCAAATGCATAGCCATTGATCCGCACGAAGATTATTTTGCCACCGGATCTGCCGATGGAGATATCAAAGTGAGTTTTAATTTTGGTATAAAATTACACTCTGATTATTTGAAGGAATTGAACATTATTAAAATATTTATTTGTAAAAAAAATATTCTATCAAAAATGCTTGTCAGTTTATTAGAATATACGTAAAACTTCGTGAAATACTATGTTGAGTGACTTTTAAGTATGTTCTATTCTATTGACAGCAAATTATTTATATTTTTATTGGTTTCTAAATCTCTGACATGTGGGTAAACCATACCAACAGTACTTTATATATTAAAAATACGGTCACTTAGTGGTTAATTTACACAGTTAGAGGATATTCGCCATCAAATTAGACCTGGCGCCCCTTTGTAGATCTAATATTTATCGGACCACTCCTTCCTCCAACTTGAGTTATTCACGGTGAATATCCAATTGCCACTAGGACAATTGGACACATTAGACAAGTGAATTTATTGTAGCACATTAGTCTGACACTCTTCGTGTTATAGTTTGTTTTAATGTAAACCTTTCACTATAATTTCACTTGTTTTATTTTGGCGCCCAACGTGAGGCTTTTTCCTTATTAAATTGGATTACCTATAAATGTTAAAGAATATTTGATGATGTGTAAAACATTGTTTTCAGATCTGGGGCGTAACAGTGCCCAACGTACTGCTGTCTCTACCCGCTGAACACGCCAGAAGTAGTTTCTTCAAGAACATCGGTCAGGGCGTTACTCAACTGCACATCGATAACCATTCTAGGCTGTTCTCTTGTGGCGCTGATGGCAGCATGAAAGTCAGACAGTTGCCTGATAGAGAGAGTCTACTTAGTCACCATTAAAAAAATGCTTTTATATACATACAGGGTGAATCTAAAATTATTAAATTAAATTAAAAGATGCTACTGAAATCGATGTATTCAAGTTGGTAATTTTTAATTGCCCTGTATATTTCTCTTTACGAAAATACACTTGTATGTATCTAGTTAATAATAGAATAGCGCGATAAATGTGCTTTTTATCTTATTGTTGATTGTTAAAATATTTAAAATGTATATCTATTCATTGAATGTGATTAAATAGTATTTTAGTGTAGGCTATTGTATTTATGTAATTTAAAATCGAAAATAAATAATAGTAATATGTAGAAATGCGTTTATTCGTGTCTTGACATCCCCAAAGAACTGTATTAGGTTCAACCGTTCACATTCTGTACACAGCAGACTTAGTAATAACAATAAGTGGGTATTTAAGCTAAGCCATACGTCCGTTGTAGGACATTTTGAAAAGACGTTAGTAAGTAGTCATGGTCCAGTGTTGCCAACCCTAGCGGAATTTAAAAATGACAAATATAAAAAAGTCTTCATAGTTGACAAGCATGGATATATTCTATTATCAGCACATTTGTTGCAGTGCATAAAATAAGCTCCATACGAAATGCATTGCATTTTGAAAACATTGATATTTTAGGCACTAAAGTGTTAAACCGAAAATTCTGAAGATCAATAGGGTTCTCGGGTAGAAGAAATATTTCTACAGAAAAAGAATTAATTTGGACAAAAAATAAATTGCTTTTGCTCTAATATTAAAAGAACTGCATGAGCATAATGGTCTACATAATGACTATTGATATACAAAAAATAGTACGATACCACTATTAGGGCTGGTACTTTCTGTCTCTGATTAAACACGTGGTTACAAATTCACGTTATTAAATTAATCAAGTAACCTTATCATGATTAAACATTGTTGAATACTGTGTCTTTTTAGCATTTGATTTATAAATCTCTTGGTAGTACCGAATTTTTAAAATAGTTCAGATGTTCCGCGTAAATACCATTGATTCATATGACTTTTTTTGTCAACAAATGAAAAAATGGATAAATAAAATGTTAAGAGAAAATAAATTTAATGTAGTAATTTCTCTACAACCGAATTATATTATTTATCAATGAATTGTATTCTCAATGAACTAGACATCACTGTTGACAAAAAAACTGATGCCACTTCTTTTAAAGACAAACAGGAAGCGTGGAAAAGAGACATGGACAAATTTAACTCGTCCAACTTGGTAAAAAATAATGTATTTTCAATTAAAATGAAATATAATAGTATAAAAAGGAATCTTAAGAATTTATTAAAATGCATCAAAAGGTACCGGAGATGGGTGGAATTTTATTACGTAAAAATGGTCCAATTTCCCATACAGCACAAACATTTCGGAAATATTTCAACAATGTTACACTGAAACATTTGTAATGTTGTATAAATATTACGAAACATTTCTGAAATATGCCTGAAACGTAAAAATGTCCTCTAAATATAATATTTCACAGTAATATTTCTGAAATGAAAATTAGAAATCTTTTAGAAATATATTAAATAGTAATATTTCAGAAATGTATTCTAGTTTTTTCTAATATATTATTAGACTAGCTTTTGCCCGCTGCTTTGCACGCGTAGTGTCGTGTTTATAATTTAAAAGAATGAATGATTATTAATTTTTAATATTTTTAGTTTTTTTCATTAATTTTTAATAATTTTTATTTTTTTGATTTATTTTTTTATTTTAATTTATTTATTTTTTGTTGTTTTTTTATTTTTACGATACTCCCCCCATTTTTCTTACTCCTTAAAATGTGAAAATCCAAAAATCTTGAAATACATCATTATTTACTTATGATGAGTAGCTACAATTCCGATTTTCAAATTTCTACAATTAAAAAACTGAAAGTCTTATTCAAACTTTCACCTTCCGTTTCCTCCCTTAATATGTAAAATCCAAATACTTTAAAATATGTATTTATTTATGAAGAGTACCTACAATTCCAATTTTCAAGTTCCTACTATACAAAATTTCACACCCCACACATTTCCCCCATTTTCCTTCTTTCCCTCATTTCCCTTCTTACCCCCATTTTCCCTTCTTATCCCCATTTTCCCTCTTTCCCCTCTTAAAATATGAAAATCAAAAAACCTGAAATACACCATTATTTATTTGTAATGAGTAGCTATAATTCCAATTTTCAAGTTCCTAGCTATAAAAAATCGATGCTTCCATGCAAACTTTTAACCCCCGTTTCCCCCCTTAAAATGTAAAAAACCAAAAACCCTAAAACACGTCATTATTTATTTAAGCTCAGTAGTAGTATTTCAAATTTTCATGTTTCACTACCATCATGTAAAATATTGCCCTATCCCTTGCTCTGTGAAAAACAAAAAAAATCGATCCCACGGGAACCTTACATTTTTGCGGAATAAAAAGTAGCCTATGTGCTATTCCAGACTATAATCTATATTTGTGCCAAATTTTATCCAGATCCGTACGGCCGTTCTTGCGTGATTGAGAAACAAACATCCATCCATCCAAACTTTCGAATTTATATATTTATATGATTAAAAAAAGACATTTAAAAATGTACGTTTATTTAAAATACACAAAACTCAAACATTGATTCTTAAACAAATAAATAAATATGTTTTAAAGAATATCTCATAAAATATAGAGGTGAATTGCTTCATTTTCAATTCCTTTAAATGCACTAATCTGAAACAAAATATAAACATGTCTAAACAAAACATGAAGATCCACCTAAGCAAGCATTATTTAAGTAGTTCTCACCATAATTTCTAAAGACATATTCTGCTTCCCACATAACAAGTTCACGACGCATGAATATCATAAACCAACAAATCAAATCTATAATTATTTAGAATATAGGCTTGTTTCTAGCTGGGGCTGGACATGATATGATAAAATAAAATAACTACATATCCCATCTTCTTCTTACAAATCAGAAATTCTTCATTAATTGTTGGCCTTTTACAACATAACCCGTTTAGTAACCTTTTGTGTAACATGTATACCATGTTTCAGAAACATTTTCAGTGAAATATTTAACTAAAATATTTCAGAAACTTGTGCTTGAAATATTATATATTTGAAACGTTTGAAATATTTCTAAAACATTTCCGAAATAATGTGTGCTGTATGAGAATTGTTGTGCCCCAATATTTAAGGTTTACTTTCTAAAAGAAATTTTAAAAAATTCATCGATCATTATCTAAATCATTAAAATCATCTTTTCTTTCTTGTACCGTGAAAGTCCTCATATTCGTAATACAATTTACAACACTTCGTCAATATGATCAAATATTAAATTCATTTACACTCATGATACAAAAAATTAGAGGATCATGATATTCACTAATTTGTCAAAATGGCAGGTCGAGATGTAGGGTAAAGAAACATTGATTAAAAGTTAAAATCAATAGATTTCACAGCGATTAAATTTAACTGCGCCATGCCCATTTTTTGATACTCATCTTGCAAGTACTCAAAATGAAGCTGTTACCAGTAAATTACTGTAAAATTTAGTTAATCATGGTTAAGTAGGTCTGGAAGTACCGGCCCTTAATCCATTAAGAAATACCCTAATGAAGTTATACAAATAGCGGGACCATAAATGTAAATTTATAGCAGTTAACATTTCCAAGATCTGATTAACATTTTAAAGATTTTTTTTCTTATCGGACAAAATTGCTCGTTGATAATGATTCACTCTTGTTTGTTTCTTCATGAAAACAAAAATCCTATGATATATCTAATCTATAATATACCTACCGATTGTTTGGAATATTATCTCAATTTTTGTTCACGTTACATTTTTAAATTGATTATTATACACAGGATGTAATAAAATTTGCGTAAGTATAAATTGTAGATAAAGTTTAATCTAAACTAAATTTTCAAAGTATCGTACATTTTTTTTCCGTACAGAAATTAGTAAAACATATATTTTTTTTTAAAACATCAATTTTTTAATAAAAAAGTTAAAGAAAACAGCAAAGAAGAACTTTAGTGTACCAATATAAATACTCTGAATTAAAAAATGAAGAGAAAACAAAAAAAATAAAACTGTTTTTGAGAAGAGAAATGAAAAAACTAACCAAAAATGTCGTTATTGTTTGACCAGAACAGCCATACTTAACCTGCGGCCTTCCAAGCTTTTTGCGGCCCGCAACACTATTATTAAGAAGGTGCTGATGGTCAATAAAAACTAACTTCATATTAATACATTCAAAATATGCACAAACAAGATATGTGGCATTTATACCGAAATATAATCATAACATTGTGTTTAGTTGCTAATAGTGTCAACCACGAAGTATAGATTAGGAGATTAGGAGTCCGAACGTAATGTTGAATGAATGGCATCAATTTGGGGGACAGACTTTTTCCCGGTAGGGCGCGCCACTTTTGAAGAAGTACTCGTTTAATTGTTTCAAAATTAAACAAATTTATTAATCAACCATTTGTTAAAAACAAATTTTTAATATTATTTAGAGGTTACTCACTTTCGGTGCTTTGAATAAAGCCACTTTTTCTAAATTCTCATTTGCCTTTCGGTACGTCCTGAATATTTGCGCAGCCAGTGGTAGAAAAAAGAACTAAGATCTGGGTTTAATATTTGTGTACATGAATCCTACAAAAAAGCCTATACCGTTCGGACTCCTTATATCTATACTTCTTGGTGTCAACCAAAACCAGATAAGAGACAACCTATATAGTGTTTCTGCCAAAACAAGATAAAGACCAGATAACTTATTTTTGTTGAATTTATTTGTTGAAATACTTTAACATTTTGCCCAAGCCATTTGTTTAGTTTTGCCTAGAGCCGTCTCTGGCCCTTCTCGATTAGTCCGAAATCGACAAGGTGATTACGTCACCCTTTCTTTCCACGATACAGCTAACTTTCAAAATCAAATAGATGATAACACGTGATGCCCGAATCGTCGTGGTGAATAATTGATTGTTTAAGCTGTAACGAATGATTGGTCA